TTGCACAAGCTTCTAGGAGGTTGGTTTCCATTGGACTGTTCATGCAGGAGCAGTCTGATCACACTTAGCTCTCTATTAAATATGTTACATCTCTGCCACATCTCTCCACAGGTTTGGTTTTAAAACTAGAGGCAGTAATAGTTGCTTCTGGGAACTAGTAATATTGAGAATTATCCATCAACGTGGATCAGATCCAGAAAATCACATACTGTAACTGCATCTTTCCCCACCTCCTAAAAGGTCCTTCCCACAGAGCTCTCCTGTTAAAAGCAGAGCGGTGACACTACTCGTCACCACGTGTCTGTCACACACAGGTATGTCAAAGCTTTTACAGTCAGGACTCAGCAATCTCTATCATTATGAATTCAGACTCCCGAGACACAAGCTAGAATAATTACTGCTACTAGCTTTGCTCAAACGTGCCTTCTGCCACACTCCCTACAGTTAATTTACTAGAAGTTCTCCCACATTATTCCCATACCCACAGGCTGCTCATACAGGAATTTCGCACAGTGGGGATAAATGAGGAAGCTGTCAGATCAGGTTTATTTATCACTTTATTGGCAGGGTTTTGCCTGAGATGCTTCAGCAGAACATCACATTAAAACCGCAGGAAGTGAGCTCTCTTCACAGTGCTGCTGTGCCTGTGCCCCGTCCATGGGGCCACTGCTTCTATGTTGCCATCCTCACAAAGAAGGTAACTCAGGGAAGTCCTCCAGACTCCCTGACTCAGTCTCAAACCTGGTGTCCTGGCCCAAGCACCAAGTAGGAAAGGTTCTCATTTTTAACTGCTTTTATATGGACTTTTCAGAAGTAACAAAACAAAGTGATTTATTCCTGCTGTATTCCCGTAAAAAGCCACAGCTACATAACGCTCATAGGCATATCTATGAAATCCTCTTCACTACATCAAGAATTTAAAAGGCATAGGTTGATCCTAATAAATAAATGCAAACTTGAATTATCATAAAGCAGGATTAAACTTCCCACAACACCACCTCTTCTGACACCCTATTATTAAGAATACAGATACCCGTGTTTAGGAACTTATTGATAAATTCATTCTCATGAAGAAAAAATGTGATTTCAGGTCTGAAAGCCTAGCTAGCTACGAAGTAATAAATCAGCATTTTTACAGAGCATTCTAGTATCTGAATAAAGCCTCCTCTGATGGACATAGCGAAGATCAATCTTCTTAGCACTGACGAATTTTAACCACTTCTAACAGCTTCCAATTACCAGCCCAAAGACATTAAAAGACTATACTCAGTTTGGAAGAAGAATCAGAATCTTAATATCAATTTGTGTAACAACCAGATGACTTCGCATTGACAAGGACTATTTGTACACTAGAAAGAGTTTTATACATTCAATTCAAGAAATGCAGTTGCTTCCCTATTCTGAAGGCTAATGGCACTCAAAGTGGATCAGTCAATAAATCAGCAAGGATGTTTTTCAGGTTTTAGCAGGATTAATCTAGTTATGTGAGCTAGAATGAGTTGTTCAAGAAAAAAAAGCCCTAGTCTGATGGCTTATTTCACCTAAATGAAATGATGAATGAAACCTAAAGCAGAAGAACAGAAACCTCTACAGAAGAACAGGTCTTGAGGAGAAATATATCTTGGCCTAATCCTATCTGCAAATTATACTCCTCTAAAACATGGTGCATTTAACTCTGGGAACCATCATTACTGTTACCCTGCAGCAAGCATATAGTCTGACCACAAGGATGTCTGTACTGAGCAGAAGGTGTTCCATATGAGTAGCAGTGCCTTCAGCTTTTAGGTTGAGCAGCTGTCCCTTTTGGGTACGTCAAGTGTTATCAGAAATCAAGTTTATGACACTTCTCTAATGGGAGATGTCAAGACTGTATCATTTTCAATTGACAGATAGCTGATTTTTTTCCCTTTGATGCTGCTAGATGAGATGATATAGTTGAACAGCAGTGTTGGCAGCTCTTCTTCTGGGGATGGATCCAAGAGGATTATTAACTGCCCCAGTGTTCTTCTGGAATAGTGACAGTCATGGAGGTTTAGCTTATGGTTAGTTCAATTGACTCAACAAGAGGTCTTTTAGGATCACAGAAGATTAGAGCCCAGCTCCTCAGTGGCTGTCAATGTCTGATCTGCTGTTTGGAACACTAGCAAGTGAGACTCTAGCCTTATGTATCCAAAGAAATAAAAGGCAGTGAAAAAAAAAAACCCAACAAAAAAGAATTTAAAATATATAATCTGTATTTTTTTTATCGAACTGGGATGTATAATGCTGAAGAGGGACTCTTCATCAGGGACTGTAGCAATAATAAAAGGGGTCATGGGTTTAAACTTAAACAGGGGAAGTTCAGGTTAGACATAAGGAAGAAGTTCTTTACTGTGAGGGTGGTGAGGCGCTGGAACAGGTTGCCCAAAGAAGTGGTAAATGCAACATCCCTGGCAGTGTTCAAGGCCAGGATGGACAGAGCTTTGGACGATATGATCTAGTGTGAGGCATCCTGCCCATGACAGGGGATTGGAACTGGATGATCTTAAGGGACTTTCCAACCCAAACCATTCTATGATTTTATGATTCTGTGATTCATTTTACCTCATCCCGTTCAAAACAGTTATTTAATGAAAAGTTGGAGGCAATCAGAAACACATTCTCTGACAGTGATGTGAAGGATGAAGAAAGCCCTTCAGCTAATGATATGCCTGTGAACTTTATCTTTGAAGTTCTGTTCCTATAATTACGTTCTATCTCGCAGCAAATTCAAAGGCAGAAGACCTTCTTCTTCCACTCTTTTCTGGGCATTGAATGGTTTATTAGATATGATGAATACTGCTGACGCTTTGTTCTTTCTTGTTTGGAGAGATAGGGTTGGGGGGGGGGGGGGGTCCGGTTCTCAGAAGGGGTCTGGGCATAAAGTCACGCTGTTGTTAATGTGTAATGCAGTAAATGAGAGTCCTCCTTAGTTCTTTCAAAATTACTAGTTCAGACTCTCAGTCTTTTAATAATTATGACATCGCAGCACTTCTGTTAACAGCTCCTGTCTGAGAGAGATGGCAATAGGGAAAAACCTGCATCTGGAGATATCAGAGTGACTCAGCAAGGTGACTCAAGAAACTAATTCAACTTGCCGGAGGAATTACCAATTATGAAAGCGACTGTCACGAGCTTCTGAAATGACTTCTCCAGCAATTCAACACTGAACACACCCCTTGCTTGGTCTTTGTTTCTACGTGACCTGAAGAGAAATGCTGAAATGCTGCACGCTTAGTGGGTAACTTTTAGTTAGGTATACTGAAATATGGGCAATAAACTGCAGAATTTCTCAACTCATTTGTAAATATGATAAAAATACAGTCTGATAACAAATGCTTGTACCAGAGGTTTTATATAGATCATCCTCAGCGCTCTGAAGAAGATTAAGTTCTCTGATCTTGTTTCTGTGAACATTTGCAGAACTTCAAGCATGTGAAAATTCTTCTAGCAACTGCAGTGGGTGTTAAATCACGATCTCCTTTTTTCAGGTTAAATCCCTTTTCCCCAGTGTATTAAAATTCTGCAACTTAGTCCAGTTCCATTCTGTCCAGCCTCAAAGGGAAGAGCTGAGATTTCCATGTCCCAGAGCAGCCCTCAGCTGTGGGTAGGACACACTCCACGGAACGCAGTGGAGGGAAACCAGCCATGCAGAAATAATTGTGTGGGGTTTATAGTTCATTTAATTAGCTTCATGGAATAGCAGTCTGCTTCCCTTGAAAGGTAATTCCACTGGTTTCCTACTGGCAGGAAAGAAAGAGTAGCAACAGAAAAATTGGATGTGACAAGTTATCAAGGCTTTCCTCAGTGCATCAGAATTTGATGTTATTGCTTGTCAAGTTTAAACTGTTTTATCACTTTAAAAAGTATGACAGTGTATTAATATTGTATTTCGCTATATTTGAAATGAAACTTAACACCGTAACCTGAGAGGGGAACATCTTAAAAAGAGAACAGGATTTTTAAACGGAAGTATAAAGAAATTCTAGGAAAGGCCTATAAATAATTTATAGGTAAAGCCAATAAAATGTTCTTTGTGTTACACACCTGAAGATTTCATGTACGTGTGCTTGTATAGAAACAAATACATATATGACCTGTTGTATAATAATTATTACATCAATTATATCATAGGATATTTTACTATAATTTAAATATGATTAATATATATTATTATATTAATGTATTTTAAATATTATTATATTAAATAAGCAGCTGGGGGGCTGAGGTTGCAGCTGCACTCCCTGAGCCGGGAGAGGCACCAAGGGAGCCCCCCCCACTGCGGCCCTGATCCAGCTCTGGGGCAGCAGCACAGGAGGGACGTGGAGCTGCTGGAGCGAGGCCAGAGGAATCCACAGAGATGCTGCGAGGGCTGGAGCAGCTCTGCTCTGGAGCCAGGCTGAGAGAGCTGGGCTGGGTCAGCCTGGAGAAGAGAAGGCTCCTGAAGGGGAGACCTGAGAGCAGCTCCAGTGCCTAAAGGGGCTGTAGGAAACCTGGAGAGGGGCTTGGGACAAGGGATGTAGGGACAGGCCAAGGGGAATGGCTTTAACCTGCCAGAGGGGAGACTGAGATGAGCTCTTAGGCAGAAATTCTTCCCTGTGAGGGTGCTGAGGCGCTGGCACAGGGTGCCCAGAGAAGCTGTGGCTGCCCCATCCCTGGCAGTGTTCAAGGCCAGGTTGGACCCAGGGGCTTGGAGCAAGCTGCTCTAGTGGAAGGGGTCCCTGCCCGTGGCAGGGGTTGGAGCTGGATGAGCTTTAAGGCACCCTCCATAGCGCCCCACAGCCCGGAGTTACGGATCCCACCCCGCGGCTTTAGGACTGAGGCGCACACGCCCCGCTGTGACACGCACGTGTTCCCGCACGCAGGCGCGTCCCGGGCCCGGTTCAGCCCGGCGCGGCTGCGCATAGCGGGGCGGGGCGGGGCGGGGCGGGGCAGGCGGAAGCAGGAGCCGCGATAGCGCCGAGTACGGGCCGGGCCGTGCAGTGCCGCCCCGCCGCTTCCCTCCCGTCCGCCGGGCTGCCGGAGCGCCGTGGAGCCGCCCGCCGCCATGTCCAACATGGAGAGTATCCTCGGGGCGCGGAGCCCCCTCAGTGTCCGCACCGCCGCTGGGGCCGGTCCCTCTTGGCGCTTCCTTGCGGGGGCCGGCGGCTGGCGGCCCTCAGGGCGTAGGGACCGCGGCTTGGGCCGGGCCGGGCCGGGCCGGGGGGAGCGGAGCTGGGAGCCGGTGCTCACTGTGGGGCCGGTGCTCACTGTGGGGCGGGCGGCAGTGGCGTGCGAGGCCGCTCCGCCCGGGGAGGAGCCCCCGACGTGCGACAGGGAGGGGTGGGACTGGGGAAGCTCGCCTTGTCCCTCATGGGGGCGGGAGCGGGAAGGCCCGGTGGGGGCCTGGGCCCGCCTCAGAGGGGCTTTGCCGGGAGGAGAAGGAGGGTTTGGGCGGTGCGTGAGACACTGCCTGGAGACGTGCCTCGGAACCTGGGGGCTGCCCTCACTGCCGGGAGGGAGAGGGGAAGGGGAAGCTTGTCTTGTTTTGGCAAGGCAAGGTCAGTAAGCGTTAGCGGGGGGGCGAGAAGGGGGTGGCATCTCTCCCAGGCAAGCACCAAATGACAGCCCGGTCCCTGTGGCCGAAAAGGGGTTTATAGGGCAGAGTTGTGCAAATTGTGTACTGGGGACACCTGACTGCTATAGTGTGTGTATACAGGCTGGGCAGATGTCTGCCCTAGGCAGCAACTGCTGCCGGCTGAACAAATCCTGCTGTTGAGAAGTTACACACAGGGAAAAACCTTGAGGGTAAATTTAAACGTTCTTGCTGTATAAAACGATCTTAATGTGCAGGGGCAAAAAAAGCTTTAAAGGTTACAGAGGTCCTGATGGGGTTGAGGTGTGCCTGCAAGTGCTCAGCATTGCTGTTGTTGTGGTAGGGCCTGATGGAGAGCTGGAACAGGTGACTGTGAGTCATGGTTAATGGTGGAAGTTCAAGTTCAGTTTCACTTTGGTTATGGTACGTTGAGAAAGATGCTTCAAGGGAGGAGCAAGTGTGTGCTCCTGGTGGGAGGGGAGAGCTGTGGAGGTGACAGGGTGAGCTAAAGCCACAGGTTGATGGCCCAAGTGAGGAACTGAGGAAGTTATTTCCAGATAAACTGTTCTGAAATGGTGTTTCAATGTAATCGGTGTAAATAGGTGGTGTCATGTTTTACCTGGTTCTTCCAGTCTCTGACCTGAAGCATGCTTGAATGAGCAACCTAAAGGTGTTTTCCTGTTTGGTAGATGACCTAATCCGTGGCTCAGTGCAGTACACATACTGCTGGTGAAAGGGATGGAGACCTAGCTTTTAAAGTGGAGAAATTGAAATGCAGGCAGAAATTCTGGTGTTCCTGGCAGCTACCTTAACAGGTATCCTCAGCATATGGGCAGAGCTGTTACATTCTTTGGCCTGCTTATGATGTTTATAGGGTAACAAATACATCAGTAGACTTCCTAATGTATTCAGGTTGCTGTCAGAGCTCCAAGATGTGTGGCTGGGCTTTAAAGGGAAAAAACAGTTCTGGAGTAATTTATATACTTGAAATATTAAAGAAACCGCAAGTACTTCATAATGTTTAGCTTTGTGTGCTTCCTCTTAGCTGTTAAGCATTTGATACTTGCTGCATCTTTCTCTTGGGATATCAAAAGGTGGCATGAAAGGAGCCTATAAAGCTTTGTACTTCCTTTTTGTTTGGGAAAGACTGACCATATTTAGAAGCTTTCAGCAGCAGCATTTCAAGAGTATAGTGTTTTAATTATTATTTTTACCGGAGATAATTTATTCCCTGTCAGCAGCGGTTTCATGCTGTCGTTCTAAGACACTAAGAAGTTTTGTTCTGTTGTTGTCTTAGACCTTTAAGATTAAGCAGGACTTGGACCTTGTAAAAAGAAGTTTCTCTTGCTTTGGTGTTCCTTCCCCAGAAGTCAGATGCCAGAGCTGCTGGGTCCCCAGAATTGCTCACATGACCCAGGGCTGGGAGGCTGCTCTGTGAAGCTGCATGAGCAGTTTAAACCCAAGATAATACTGTGGCTTCAAAGGGCAGCCCTTCCTCCTGCTTTGTACTCGGGCATGAGCAGCCACCCCCGTTTGTTACTGCATGGCTATTTTATCTTGTTCCTCAGTGGCTGGCTTTTTCAGGTGGGGGTGTTCCAGGCAGGCCAGTGAACTGCACTTTAGTATGTCTGAGAGGTCAGGACTCTAGGTGTGTGAGTGAAAGTACCTTGCATAGCAAGACTTTCAGTTCCTCTTGTGGGATGTTTGGTTTGTTGTATTTATCAGTCTGAAGTAAATTTGATTGTTAAACGGAGCCAGTTTGAGATCTGAACTTATGTTTTATGGCCTTGCATTTTAGAACCCAGATGATAAGTGGCATTATAATTGTAAAATAGCTTGGCAGGTCTCCTTACTGTGTGAATTTCAGGGGCTTATTTAAGTAATATTTTCCAAGTTTTAATATCACTAACAGGGAAAGACAGGTTTGGTAGCACTTCAAACAGGAGAGGAAAATACTGTGATGAAAGTGTTGATCCTGTTTTTGAATCCTTAACTTGCGCTGCAGAACATCTGTTTAATTTGAAGTTTGCTGCAAAGGAACTCAACAGGAACTCAAAAAAATGCGACAAAGAAGAAAAGGCTGAGAAAGCTAAAATTAAAAAGGTAAGCGGTGAATCTGAAACAACTCTTTAGATCTCTTTACAGATTATGGCAGATTTTACCATTTTCCTGGTACAGACGCTAATAATACCTTGGTAGATGTTTGTGATTTTAAATACATTATTATTAATCTTCCCATACTTAAGAAATATGAGGATACATTCTTGTGTGTCCTCTTGCACAGCTTGTGGCCTATTCTTCCTGAGAAGATTGTTTTATGTATTTTGTTAGCAGCTGTTGTTCTCGAAGTTAAAAAATGTTTAATCTTATTGTTTATCATCTTGAACTGAAAGGGTTTATGAAGAGGAACTTAAAAATAGTTTTTGAGTCCTTGGAAGTAGTAAAGAGAGAGGCTACATTTTTTTTACTGTTTTTGGCCGTGAGTTACAGCAGTGCCAACTGCATATGTCTTTGGGTCTCGATACTGAAAATGTCCTTGGGAATGAGAAAATCATGTTTGTGTAGCTCTGTAAAGCCTCTTACTTGAAGTGCATGTCAGATAGCATCCTTGAAAAGAAGTCAGGAGTTCACATCTTGGAAAGTCTGAGAGCTTACAGGGAGGAAGGAGGGGTTTATTTTCTGTTTTAGTAGAAAAGACACTGCAATATACTTGAAATATTGAAGAAACCACAAGTACTTCATAATGTTTAGCTTTGTGTGCTTCCTCTTAGATGTTAGGCATTTGGTACTTGCTGTATCTTTCTCTTGGGATATCAAAAGGTGGTATGAAAGGAGCCTATAAAGCTTTGTACTTCCTTTTTGCTTGAGAAAGACTGACCTGATTTAGATGCTTCTTTCTAAATAATGGTAGTAATATGGTACTCAGGAATCATGCTTACAGGATCAGGGAAGGTTAAAATACTTTTTCTTTTTTCTTTTTTTCAGGCAATTCAGAAGGGTAACATGGAAGTCGCACGGATACATGCAGAAAATGCTATCCGACAGAAGAATCAAGCCATCAATTTCTTGCGCATGAGTGCCAGGGTAGATGCTGTAGCAGCAAGAGTTCAGACTGCAGTGACAATGGGCAAGGTAAGCCTGTTTTCACAAATCTATTGCAAGGATGAGACCTCTGGTCTTAGAAGTGACTTAATTCTGTCTGTAATGACCTGAGAAGTTTCAGTTTTGGTTTCAGATGTAGTCAGTAGTAAATCAGGTACTGGAATCACCTTGGCAGCTGCTGTTTAGGAGTAGATTGCTATCCACTATATTTTGTAGCTAGCAACTTTTCTTAGCTGTTACCAGGAGACAGTGTGTTTTACTGGTTACACTTCTGATTATTTTGCAAAGATATTGCTCCTCTTCCAAATACATGAAGACATGTTGTAGGACTTGTGACATCAGAGATTGTTTTTAGCTCAAGTAGTTTTTTATGGTAAATGACTGTACTGCTCTTCAGCCAAAGAGTTTATTCTGTGATCTGTATACTAAATAGGTCCCTTAATATTGGTAGGTCTTGAGACCTAACAGGAAGCTAATGCCATATACACCTCATTTTCTATTGAGTTTCAGCTCAGAATGCGTATTTCAAGTGGTTAATTTGTAGAATTTTACGAGCTATAAAAAAGTGGTGTTCTAGATGGCAATAGTGGGTGCCCTACTACTTGCTACTGTAGGAAGTCTGTGGCTTTAGAGAAGAGAGCTTAGTAAGAAACTGCTCATTTTTCTTTCATTGTAATACTCTCCTTTACCTCATTTCAGGTAACAAAGTCAATGGCAGGGGTAGTTAAGTCTATGGATGCCACACTGAAGAGCATGAACTTGGAAAAGGTAAATAGATGGACTTTTCTTGGGAGCTGCATGTCAGAAGCAGAAAGGGCAACAGACACAAGTTTTAAAAAGGGGAATTCCACTGAAGAGAAAAGGTTTTTGCAGTGGGGTAGGTCCTAGAGTAAGTTGTGAAGTCTTCATAAATGGAGATGCTCAGAACTTGGCTGAACAGGGCCCTGACCAATCTGCTTGAACTGCAGCATAAGATCAACTTCACACTTGATGTGGGGAGGGGAGCAAGCTTCTGATCTCCGAAAGCTGCCTGCCCTTATACTGTGGTTCTCTTTTTACCAGTTGAGAGATATTTCTCTTTTGTTACTTGCAGAACATTGATTTGATGTTTCTTATAGATATCTGCACTAATGGATAAATTTGAGCATCAATTTGAAACACTAGATGTTCAGACACAACAGATGGAAGACACAATGAGCAACACTACTACACTAACAACGCCACAGGTAAGAATTTTATTTATTTTTTCTTAATGTGATTTTAAATTTTGTGTCTAAATGTATGGAAATGTCTGATTCTCTCCTTTCTATCTACTTCGAGAAGTAGCAGCAGCTGGAGCCTTTTCACTTTTGCTTTGTGCTTTTTTGTGACAAAGAGAATATTGCAGGTTATTGTCACAAGTAGAGAGGATCACATACATGTATTTTGGTCTATTTCACTCTTGTAGCAGGCTTTATTTTATATTATATCTTGAAAACCTTAACCCTCCTACTAAATAAGCAGAGTTGTGAACCAGAAGACACTACAGCATTAATTATCAAAACAGAATATGCTGTGAGAAAATAAATAGTTCTAACTCACTGATGCTAATGACATGACATTAGTCACCACCAAATTAGTAGTGGTATATGCAATGGAAAGGTTGTTAATTACATACTTCCAATTTGTGGGAGTGTGTTTACTAAAATAAATCTTTAAATAATGCTTGACATAGTTAAGAATTCCTAGCAGCCGTTCCCTTGTGCTATTCCACAAGGAACTAAATCTGCTATTCTCACAGAGGTTTTGACAGAGAGAAATTTACTGGAGATAGTGCTTTGTCAATAAATTAAATCTAAACCCAAATCCAGTAAACCAGATCTATTGGAGATGAGCTTTTTTCCATATTGTGCAAAGCAGTGTTTTAGTAGCTAATAATCCACACTTGGAATATTCAAGTGTAAGTTTGAGGGTTTTCATGGGTAAGTTTAATTCTTTGAAAGCTAGAGCTCATTATTTTGGAAGCTAGGACTCAATAAATGGATTTTAACAGGCTGAGCACCTCTACTCATTATTTTTGAGTTCATACAGGCCCTTCTGGTGTCCTGTAAAAGGCATTTACCTTTAAATCAGTTTTGTTAAAGTAATCCCCATTCACTCAAGATTTAACAGAAGAGGTCATAAGCTACAGTATGCAACAATCAGCTTTTTCTTCTTTGCTCTAGAACCAAGTCGATATGCTTCTACAGGAAATGGCAGATGAAGCAGGGTAGGTAAAATTTTGACTATTGCTTGATTAAATCTTGGATCCAGCAGTCCTTCCTGGTTAACTTCAAGGTCAGATACCCTTGTTTTATATGGTTCTGTCTCTTGGAAGAGAAGGCGAATCACTGTTTTTCTTTCATCTCTGGATATAATTCTTGTAATAGTTTAGTTGCTGGTATTTCATTCTGTTCTCACTCAGAGCTGCTGTGAGTGTCAGGATGCAAGGGTTATTGTGCAGAAGCCTAAAATCACATGTCACTTGTCATGTGGTGATAGGGTTTCATTATTTACTTGGATTGGCGTTGGCAATCCTTGCTGTGTTTCTCCACAATTTTCTCTTTTTTCCACCCCTCTTACCACATCAAAACTTCCTGTAGTTCGGCTCTCATAAGCCAGATGTTGCAAAACAGGTTGTCATGACATATTTAAGCCTTTAGGGTTATAGTGAAATATTTCAGAGACTTTTACTTGGCTTCTTGGTGACACGGAAGTTAAAACTGTCAGTATTGGCTTGAGCATATTTTGTCATTCATGAGCATGCCGTGTCTGATACACCTCTGTTAAACAGCTATCTTGCTCAGTCTTGATTGAGTCGAATTAATTGAGCTATTTATAATATATGACTTTTCTTTGCAATGAGTCAAATTTATTGATGAAGTTGTCTAGCTGGAGGACAGCATTCATGGGATGTGGGTGGCCTCATGCTCTCTCAGTATTCCTCTGCTTGTCAATTACTGTGCTTCTTCCTGTAGCCATGTATGCCTGACTGGGGTTTTTTGTTTTGTTTCTCCTATTAGTCTTGATCTGAACATGGAACTACCTCAAGGACAGACAGGTTCTGTTGGTACAAGCGTTGCCTCAGCAGAACAGGTAAACATTTGATTCCATTGGAATCAATATTTTCTGGAGAAATGTGGTATTATGACATCCAATGCTTCACTCAATCAAAACAGGCTTGCTGAAGTGTAATTAGATTTTAGCTGTCCCAAAGAAATAGCATGTAGTTAAAATAATCTTGCAGTTAAAATAACTTTAACAATACAACTTTAATAAACAAACTATACAACTGCTTTGTAAATCCAGAAAATTTAGATGTTCCAGGTTTATTTTTGAAAGGTTATTTCAGGGAGTTCCAAATGGTTGACTCTCCTGCCTACTCCAAAGTTAAGGAATCCAGCCATCTCCTATAGCATACGTAAGGAGTTTGGTTTTTTTTCTCTTTAACGTGTGGAAGGTCTTCAGAGACTAGTGGCAAAGATTCCACATTTGCTGTAGATGAGCGCTTAGAATTTCTTGTGCATGAGCAGATCCTGATATCAGGGTTGCACAGATCTTCTGGTGAGTTGCTTTTCCCATTCTGGAGGAACACATTTGAGGGAATGAAAAGAGAACAGTTTATTTCTGTCATCCTTCGTGGAAAAGGCTTTAGGGAACTTTAGCTTAACTGACCCATCTTTGGGAAACCCCAGGTATCCCAGGTTCTATGAAAGGTTCAGTTTCACCTTGTGCTAGGTCCCCTAAAACAGTTAGACCTTCTGCTGTCACGCTGCAGCAGTTAAGTTGCATACCAGCCTTGGTCAGCCAAGGCTACATCCAAATAAGGAGGCCTTCTGTAAGAGGTGATTTGCACTTGCAAAGATGATACATATAAAAACCACAGACAAACCCAGCCCTATCTCTGCTTGCTGTGTTCTGAAACTCCTTCCTAGATGTCTACCACTGGAGATAAGGTATCTGTATGGACCTCTAGTGCAGTCGTTCTTGAGGTCTTAAGCAAATCTTTAAGTCTTGTGCATTAGAGAATTTCTGATTATCCAGACAGGAGATTGCTAGACCATTGCAGAGCTTTGCAAAACTGAATTTTCATGTTACTGATAGCTGGTTTCTTTGTGTTTTGCAATTCTGCAGGATGAGCTGTCACAGAGACTGGCCCGCCTACGTGATCAAGTTTAAGTCAAACAAAGCTGCAGTTCTTTGTATATGCTTTCAAAACACCCTTTCTGTAGCTGTTCTTTCACTACACAAAAGAGGTGTATACAGTATGGCTTAGATATTTGAATACTTGTAATATAGGGTTCTTCACTCCTAGCTTGCTACTGTTTCTAAAATTCATTAAGTAACCCAAATATATCAGCTCTTTAATGTCCTTTCCTGTACATTTTGAAGTTGATATATTTTTGCAAGCTTTTTTCACAAAAGCAAGTTGATGTTTTAAGCCAGCTGGTATTGTTGGTACATTTTAGCTAAAGGAAAAGCAGGGTGTCATTGATAAATATTCTAAATTATGAAGTGATTTTTTATTTTTTTTTTAATTATGAGAACTGCTTATGGTTGGAGAACTGATGTATTCAATTCAGATGATAGTTGTTGTTAACTTTCTTACACAGCCAAACTCCTGGAACATGCAAAGGTGGACAGTGTGGAGTTCATGGAAAATATGCTTGTTAAATCAAATACTTTGAGGTTTTTAGTTATTTAAAGCTAGGGTAATTGTGCTGAAATTAATGGTTTAGTTAAAAAATTAATTATAAAAGCTGTTTTCATATAATTGGGAACTTGTACAGTGTCATCACTTCAGTACAGGAGGAATAAAATATATTTTTCAACTCTTTGTCAGTTCTGTTGAATGTTGCAGCTTGCTTGTAGAATAATGTCAAGTGCTATAGGTTCTTCATTTTGCTTTCTTCTCAGCATCCTAGGGTGCAGCCAGTTATGCCACTCACACCTCTTTTCTGTCAACATCTAGTTCCTGTTAACAGGGAGCTAATGCTATCTGGTTTTATAGATTTGAGCTCAGAAGCCTTATATGAAATAACTGAAGCCTGCTTTTCTCCATTCCTTCTTACTCTGTCTTTGCTTTTAATCTTGTCACTTCTTTATACATAAGGACAAGTCTTGTGATCGTATTCTGTGCTTCAGTGCTTTTCCATACGTGAAAAATACGGAAGTGCTCTTCCTCAGGTTCAGCTCTTCAGTCCTCCTTCAGCAGTTGGGGTACAACCCTGTCTTCTCCAACCAGGAGAAGATCCTTAGATCAGCTTTTGCTCCTCTGCACTTTGTGTCAGGTGAGATGTAGGTGAGTGGCACAGGCCAGCTCAGTTGAAGGGGGTTAGGTTGCATTAAGAACAGCTATTATACCTCAGTTTTTGAGGTACAATGTTGCTCTCTGCAGGTAAAATAACATCATTTGTAGTATTGTGGTTGTATGGAGAAGCTAGTTTGTTTTAGTAATACCTTTGTATTTCTGCACAGTTAAGGGAATCTACTGGCTTCTTTCAGTAGCTTCCAACACTTGCTGCAGTTGTGAATAAATAGTTGTAGAAATCTGTAGCTGAGACTGGTCGTGATGTGTTGTGATAAACAGTGATGCTAAAATTTCCTTTCTGACTTTTGAGGCTTATTTTTTTGTTCTGTCTTTGTAGGGGTGAAGGAAGGTGTAAAGCACTAGACTGGGAATTAGTTCTGAGTTCACTGGTGTTCAGGATCACTTGGAATTCCCAGTGTTGGGAAGTATTTAAGAAAAAAAAAACATACTTTGCTTTTTTTTAGTTAAGCAGGATTTTTTCAGTGAAAACATGCAAAAATGGTGAAACATTCCAGAGCAGTTTCAAACTGTGTTTTGAATGTGTTTGTTGAATCGCTCTGAAGGTTTAAAGGAATGTTACATGCTGAAGTATTCAAGGCTGCTGTAAAAAGATAAGGAAACCAAGATAGACAAACCAGCCTAAAATGCTGTGGAATTCTCTCTCACACTGGCATCCTAAACTAAACCAATTTGTTTCAAATGTGGTCCTTTCAATTGTTTATGTTTCCTTTCAATGCAGCTTTCTTTTCAATGCCTTGAATGTTTCTATTATAAATAGGAGAAATTGGAAGATGTTTAAAAGTGCTGTGCTCACAGCTGTGATCTTGGTAAAATCCTGTCAAATTATTAAAAAGCACTGTAGGAAAGGAGCTATATACTACATTTATTTTTTTCCCCAAGCTCCTTCTGAACACTATAACAATACCATAGTGGTGTATCTATGCAACCAGGTTACCCCCAGCTGGGTAACTGCTTGTGTGTGTGCCTTTGCCTTGCTGAATTTCGTTTATCCCTTTTTTAACTCAATTACTTCATCTCATTAGAGGATTGGAAACTCACTCTTGTGTAATAACAGCTCCACACCTCAGTTCACTTTGTGGTTGCTTATGGATTCAGCTGTACTATGAAGTCCTGAGGTTTTCACTGCTTAATATTAGACAACTTCAGCTCTGCTTGTCAGGCTCATGCTAATGTTAAAGCTTATGCTGCCTTCAGACTGTTCCTGGCCATTCTTAAGGTGTTTGAGGAGGCAGACAGTAATTCTGAGGTTCCATGGACTTTGTTTTCTGAGTATGTTACCTTGCTGTGAGCCTTGGGGCTTGCCTTCAGGGAGTTTAGAAATAGAGGGAGATGAGGCAGATCAGACTGCTGCAAGGCAAATATTAAATAAGTTTCATTATCTTACTGGCTATACACAGCCTCTTCTGTGGTTTCGATCTCATTTCAGGCTTGCGAATTCCAGTACCAGAATAAATTTCCAGTATCCTTCAGAGGGGTTGACAAGTAAACATACATGCTTGACTGACACAATTAATGTTACCCCAGCGGGACTATGATGCAAAGAGGTAGGCAGGCTTAGGCGGCTGGGGGAAGAAATAACGTCTTTGAAACAATGAATTTGTGCCCTGCTGACTTCACTCGAGAAATGCTGCGTGTTTCAGCAGCGCCAGGGTTTTGTGCTGGCTGCTTCTGTGTGTAGAACTCCTGCCCTCTCCTGGAGGAAACGGTTCCGCTTCAGAAGCACTTGCGTCAGTTGGCATTCGGGAAGTTTTAACAGTTATTTTGTGAATATGTGTGTTTTGTTTTTCTCAAGTCTTTTAGAAATGCTTGAAACTGAAAGTTACGCTTAAAGCAATGTTTGAGTTTCATATCCTTCCTCCATTCAGGCTCTCCTCAAAACAATGGTTCTCTTATGACAGCCCTGGCTGCTCACTCCTGTGTAAGTTGTCTGTGTTTGTAGAAGTTCATTTCATGTTAAATAAATAATGTGCACTTTTACGTAACCTTACTACCAGATAATATTTCAGTATTTGCGCTCATGAGCAGAGACATCTACAGTGAAACATTGCTTGAAATGTTGAAAGATGGTTTTGCTTGATGTTTTTTCCCTTGGTTCCCAAAGCTGGTTGTGTGTGGTAGCATTAGTCTTCATTCATTTGAATTCCAGAATGAAAAGCCATGAAGAGCTTCAGATGAAAGCAGAAGGGAGGAAAAGAACAACTTGAACTTTCTCAATTGCAGTGGGATAAAATGATCAAGTTGCCTTTGGAGATCCTCGGAGCCAAAAAATAGTGACATTTTGTTAAATATAATTAGCAGTTGTGTACAGAGATAAATTCTGAAGCTGGTGACATGTATAGAGAGGAGAGTAATTTTTGTAGCTCTGGTAGACTTCATTTTGAAAACTGCTTTACTTGTAAGGGGCAATTTGTAAATGTAACTTCAAGTGGTCAATAAAACTACAGACAACTTCAGGTGTGTTCCTGGGTTATGTGGCTCTTTGCTGGTGCATCTTGGTCCCTGGGTAAACAAGTAGATGTCATCATTATTTTCCTGTGAGATGATGAATAGCAATTTAAATCTTCCTGGAGAGAAAGTCAGAAGTTGTGGGGCCGCTATTGAGAAATATTTGGGCCAACAGTAATTAAGTATAACAATATAAAATGTGATCTACTTAAAATTGGTTGGGTTTTTTATGTTTAGTCTGTTACGGAGTGTATCCCTCATGCTTAAAAATCTAAGAGGGTTTTCTGCACTTACCTACATGTATAAGGGGTCGTGTGGGAAGCTGGCAGGAGCTGGTGTGGGTTTGAGTTAGAACTCTCCCGTCCTTCTGTTCCTCATCCACTGTATTTTGGAGCCAGCAGAGGGAGCCTGAGCCTTTGTTTTTGCATAGGTCCTACACAAATAACTATTGTAATTCTGAAAGCAAAGAGGACTACCAGAGAGTCCTCGCTAGCTGGTTTAAGGAGCTGTCTCTCCTGTGGAACCCGTGGTTTTGGGCAGTATCCAGTCTCTGTAGATGTGCCTGTATCAGGGCTTTGATCCTCACCTAAAAGTTGCTCTGTTGCATGAAATACACCACGTTGGAACTCCAGGAGCATGCTGCTATGGGCTCATCTGTGTCAGCCCCCAGATACCTTCACTAAAGGTGCTGAAAAGCATTTGTTTGATGTCTTTAGGCATTTATTTGGGACTGTGAGATCTGCTGTAAGTAGTGAGATGACGAGTAACATCATGCTTAAAACTTGTTTGAAATTGTTTAATGTTCAGTTAAGTTCTCTTGCGTTTCTTTAGCTGTTGTTCTGGTTTTGTCCTGTGGTACTACTTTTACTTTATACAGAGGGGCGCACACATGCTGTGTATGGATGGAAAATGCACTTTACTATCAATTTTCTTGTCACAAGTGTTGCCCATGCTGAGATTTGATTTGATGAAGTATTCACTTTGGTTTCAGGATTCTCTGTCTGTGCATTGTGCTTTTAGCTTTAGCATTAGCATTCATGTAGTGCAAAGGTCTGGTTTGAACTAACGGCAGCATGCTGCTCAGGACTTCCCTTTTTGTCAAACAACATTTTTCCAGTGAAATCCCCAGAAGGGTCAGTGGCCTCACTTGTATCGGAAGCAGCTCTCTTCATTACCATTCAACAGAGGAAAAGACCGATGTGAACAATCTGTAGCTAATTTCAAGTGCCAATTGAGCCTTTTTAACTTGGAAGAAGATGCAGTGAGTGAGTCTCAGAGGCTCTCTCTTTACCTTTACTACTTTTTATTAAGAAAGTGCTGGATCAGCTGTGATACACAGTTCAAGATGATAGAAAATCAATGGAAAATAGGAATTCCAGCTCTTCCCAGTTTTTTGGAAAGCTTTCCCATGTCTTCCAACGGTGCCGGTTTCCATGCGTGCAGCATGCGAAGCAGCAGGAACCAGACCATCTCACAACAGATAGGCTGCCCTCAAGCTCTTATCTCGATGAGGGTGATTTGGGGGAATAAAAGTACTTCAGTATCACATATGTCTTATTTAAGACCTGTGCATGTTGCTGAGGATAGTCTTGTTACCTCTGAGTGAAACAGTGTTCTTGCAAAAGTCTAAAGCAATAAATGTTACGTACCAGCTACTATGTGTGTCGGACAAGATAACAATCAGCTTAATTTAATTTCCCTACTATCTGATCCATAATTCTTTATTACAATCCATTTCTGTCAAAATGAGCTGTCGGGGACAGTAAAACATTTTAAAACTTCCTTTAAGGGTACTCAGGTTTTCTAAGTTCAATTTTTAAAGAATTCTTTCTTTTTCATTTTTTTTTTTACAAAGATTAAATTGACCTAATCCAGGAATCTTTATAAAAAATATTTCATATTGTTCTTACTACAGGCCTCTGTTTCTCTTGCTGTAAAATGGGTTAATACTGGAACTGTTAAGCTCTGTTTCTGTTGCTGGTGATTTTGCAGTTCCAGGTACCAGTGTGAAGCCCCAACATGAGACTTGAAATCCATAGGAGAAGCAGGCAGTCC